CTTTCCTTTCCTTTCCTTTCCTTTCCTTTCCTTTCCTTTCCTTTCCTTTCCTTTCCTTTCCTTTCCTTTCCTTTCTTCCCCCCTCTCTCTCCTTGAGGCCCAGGCAGCAGAATTCCCTGGTGGCTTCTCTCTTGCATTAATGAGGCTAACGGTTGGGGTGGGGGGAGGGCAGGGGAAGAGAGCCTCTCTCTGGTTCTTTTCTCTCCTTGTCATTGCTGCAAATAATCACATAGGGACCTTCATTGTCAGAGAGGCCTTGCAGCCGAATAGCCAACACACAAAGGCTGGAGATGAGGAGCTTGGAATTGGGTTCCCAGAGAAGCCAGTCCAAAAGAAAGCAAGCCTTGGGTGGCATCATGTAGAATCTGGCTTGGATCTTCCAGCCCTCCCACACTGGGCACTCCCCAGCTTGTTGCCTTCTTTCCCACGATCACATCTGTCTTGATCACATGCCACTGCCCTCTCCTCCTTTTTCCATTTCACTTTCAACTGAATTGCAGTCAGACTTTCTTGAATGATTGCAAGCTCATAAGAGGCCCAGGAAATGTGACTGTCCTTAGCCAATTCATTTCTAATAAAGTTAAAGTAAAATCTCCTTTGAGTTGAGTTCAACTTCTTGGACACATCCATGTAGCTTTCTTTGGCAGCAGTATGGAAGTGCCTTGTTATTGCTTTCTTCTGAGATATTTTTTCAACTTCCCAGTCTAGCCTACATCCCTGGGATTCCCTGGTGATCTCCCATCCAAGTTCTAGTCAGATCCAGCCCTGATTACTTTTTTTGAGATTGGCCAAGGATGGTTGGATGGTACCACCTGGCTAGACTGCTTAGTTCCAGGGGTTAATCACTGGCTACTCTTTGAGGAGGCACTTCCTTACTTCTTTAAACTGGGAGTGGTTGACAGATGGAGAAGGACTTGGACAGTGGAAGCAGTGGCATCTGGGGCAGGAGGCATCCGAGTGGCACAAGCAACATCATGCCCAATGGGGTAAAGCTTGTGGTACAATGCTGCAATGTTGCTTTTGACATTTGGAGGAAAGCAGCAAGAGCCTGCAGACACCACTGAATGGAAGGCAGGACATTCAAGACGGTGGCCACCTAGAAACCAAATAAGTGTAAGAATGCCATAATCTATCCAATTTTTGCAAAATTCCTTTTTTCTTTGAATGAAAGAAGAATTGCTAGGGAAAAAGAACCATAGGAGAATTTCTCTCCCCTGCTCTAGATGATGTCTAGAAGGTAACGTGTAGCCTGCTCTGAGCCTGTATTCTAAAGAACCTTTGGCATTTCCATTTCTAGATGCAATCTAGCCCCAGTGCAGGAATATACCCACGATGTTGGAACAAAGACTGATCTGGTCACCATGAACCCTTCCGTCATCCAGCGTGCCTTTGAGGACCTGGTGAATGACACCTGGAGGGAGAAGCTGCTTCAGCGTCTTCATAGCCTCAATGGCAGCATCCTTTGGATCCCAGCATTCATGGCCAAAGGGGGCAAGGAACGGGTGGAGTGGGTCAACGAACTCATCCTCAAGCATCACATCAACGTCCGCACTGCCTACCCATCTCTGCGACTGTTGCATGCTGTACGAGGGTGAGCAGTTCTGGGGCTAAAGAGGGTGAAACAAAACAGGAGGGGAAACTAGCTTAGAGTGGAGGATGAATCCAACATTTCAAATTTGGAATGGTTCCTACTTCCCAGTTGGGCTGAAGTAGAGGAGATGTAGGAAGAGATGCAGTGCTTTTAGGGAGTTTTGTCTTTATATTCATGCACAGAATCAAGAAAAAAAGTGTGCATGAAATGGGCGAATTTGATTCAAGCAGAGTTACAGAAGAGAAGGAATCAGAGGCATCTATGGTGTGTGTGTGTGTGTGTGTGTGTGTGTGTGTGTGTGTGTGTGAAAAATTCAAGATGGGCATGACCATGAGACTAAAGCCCCATCCCTTCCTCTAATCATGGCCACCATCATGATTTTTGTGGGGTGGGGCTTCAATCACATGTCATGACCACTATCTTGACTTTTTTGACCTCTCTTGTAGACACCCTTTGAAGGAATACCAGTTGGGGATGGGGGTCCTGACTAGTCCCAGTCCCTCTAGGCTGATGGATGAGAACCTTCTATGGTGGCTCCCAACACCCAGCATTTAAGGTAGAGGTGTCAGCAGAGGGAGAGCAGAAAAGTCAAGATGGTGGCCATGACTGCATGAATGCATCCATGATGGACATAAGCAGGGGGTGGGGCTTTGATTGTATGGTCTCAGCTGCCAACTTTTTTTTACTTCCTCCACAGACACTGATTTAAGACCTGATATTCAGGAAATAGTAAACCCCCATCAAGAAGCCTGATCCACAAACCTGTGCAGTCTCCTTTTCAAATTGTCCAGCAAATTCCCCAGCTTAACAATGTGCTGTTTCCCTCTGTCAGTCTTAAATCTCTCTGCATGTAATGGGTGACCTAGCTTGAGAAAGGGAGAAAAACTGTCTCCCCATGACCTTAGCCATGCCTAATTTTAGCCCTTGGTCCTCCTCTGTTCCAAACTGTAGAGGCCCAGTTGCTGTATCTTTCCTCAGAGGGAGCCTGACCCAGCCTCCAAGTCCTATTGGTTACCATTTTTGGATCTAGGGTACTGGGAGCTGAGTCCAAAAGTGGCATCCACAGGAAAAGAGGAATCAAAACAGACAAAATGGCAGGTTTGCATGATGATACAAGGGGTGGGTCTTGATCATGATGCCACATCTGCCATCTTGCCTGCTTTAACGACCTCTCCCTCTGCAGAAACCACTGATTCCAAAACTCTTGGGAGCCACCACATTGTCTATCTTTCTATGTCTCCTGTGTTAAGTTCTAAAGAGCTGGGGGGACATGGTTTCCCCCTATCCATTTCATTTTCTACCTGGCAAATGGACCAGATGTTCTGTGGCAAATTATGAGAAGATGATCAAAGTGGGGTTGTCTGTTCTGGCAATGGGCCCTGTTCACACGACTGGGATGATCCTCTCCCCAGTTAATGACTTGGTGCACAGGCAGCCTGTGGGATATCCAGCTGGTTGCATTCAGGCAACACACTTAGTCTGTTTCTTGAACTAACCCATTTTCTGGGCCCACAGAATACATCCCAAAACCAACCAGATGGCCTTCATTCACACAACACCCTAAGCCACAAGAGTCTCACCAAGGCTAGCACTAATCAAGTTTAGTATGTTGTACATGTTATGCTGTTCAGGACCTTATTGTGCTCTTCCTTTTCTGGAGGGGAACAAAACAATCTGTGGCAGCCCACTCAGGATGAGTGCCACCAGGGACAGAGTTCCCTAACCTTTATGTTCCTGCCCTTTTTTCACCTTTCATCTGGCTGTGGGTGGCCATAACTAAAATGGCAACTAAGGAAGAATTCCTAGAGAGAAGTTTACCATCAACGTAACTCCCCAAAGAAACTGTTTGGAGCTAAAACTAACAACTTAAGATAAGTTGCCTGAGTTAGTTGCTATGACTGAGTAAACAGATCATATGAATGCATCCAATCAGTGGTGATGAACGAGGCAGAAGAAAGATAAAAGAACACAGAGATAACATTGGAAAAGGAGTGAATGAACTGTTAAGGGAGGAAAAAGTGACAATTGATTCCTGGAGCAGGGCAAAGTGTGAGAAGGAAGCTCAGAATAATCTCACCTTGATTCTGTATGGTACAACTGATAGGCTTTCAGAATTGATGTCAGCCCTTCCAGAAAGGCCAGGTCAGGAAACAGGTACCACAAGGATTCTACATCTACCTTTTTTTGTTGATGTAGAATATAATAACAGAATCTTGAAAGCCTCTAGGAGTTTCTCTCTGCCCCATCTTATAGCAAACAGAATCAAGGTGGGGTTATTCTAAGTTTCCTTATCACATTGTCCCCTTTCCCTGGGCTGAGTTGCTGTTTCTCCCCCCTTAACAGTTCCTCCATTCCAAGGTCATCTCTGCATTCCTTTACAGTAGAACAAGCTACCAAGACAAGAGCCGGTGCGGTACAGCGCTAATTACAACTCCAAGACATAGACAGGTTCAAAGCTTTGACCCTCCCTCAAATAAGCTGTGAAATGACCAGCCATAAAATATGGATCACTTTGTCCTTGTCTGTCTCTGTGTGTATATGAGTGTGCATTTGTTCGTCTGGAGGTGATTAAACCTGAGAGTGAATTACTAAAACAGCTATCATGTCTGGGCTGCCAAAATCTGTATGACCACCAAACGGCCAGCTAAATATACCAGCTATTTACTGTTTTCTAGTGGTTGTGCAGAGCTTAACAGCTATGCAAAGTAACCCTAATTACTGATTACAGAATTGTTGCTCCCATGGAACCAGGATAATTTTTCCTTTCAATTCAGGTAGCAGACAATAAGGCCCAGAAAGTACAGGACATTGTAGATTATTTGGTATAAACATATCCAAAGAGACATGGAAAACGTACTGGTCTGCAGCTAAAATGTTGAAGCCTAGTGGAATGGATGGATGGATGGATGGATGGATGGATGGATGGATGGATGATAAATAGAGTCTGATAATTTTAATGTTGGCAGAGAGATGATTGTATCATAAACAAATGAGATTAATGAATGTGTTCTTCCACTTAATACTCTTGAAGAATTAATGTTCTTACTCTGATTTGAGACTCAACTGATAGTTTAAGTAGGAAGCTAAGCAAGGTTGGACTGGGATAATATTTGGATGGGAAACTACCAGGAAATCTCAAGGCTTAAAGCTAGATTGGGAAATTGAAAATTATCTCAGAAGAAGACCATGGCCAACCACCGTCTTGTTGTTGTCAAGAAAATGCAGAAGTGTCTCCAGGAGACTAGCAGGAGTCAAGCTTGAATGGAAGGACATGTTCCCTGTGTTATAAGTGGATAACTTGATTATTGAAGCTCCATAATCTTTCTTGATAATGGAATCCAAAACGTGCCTTGCAATTTCTCACAAACTTTCTTCTTTTCTTACTGAAGTGACAGATGGAGCTACCCTGGTGCTATTTTCACTTACACATCTTTCCATCATTTTGAAGATTCCCGACTTGAAAAAAACCTCTGGGAGAAATTCCTTCCTGGGGCCCTCCCTTGGGATTTAATGCTGGAAATGTGGGCAGCCAGAGAGGCTGCAGTTGGCTGGAGAGAGGATTGAACAATGAAAGACAGGACATTCACATATACTCCCTGGTGTCAGCCCCACTAGGTAGACCAGATCATAAAATCAACTCCACAGGAAGACTAGAACTACACTCTATTGAGATAGACTATAATAACAGAATCTTGTATGTCTGATTGTGCTGGACCTCCCTGTCGTCTTATACTCCAGTGAATCAGGGAGGTGTTTACCTGAGTCCCTTCTGAATATTATCTTGTTTCCCAGGACTTAAATAAGGTTTCAGCCCTCTTTACCTAGTTAGACGTTACCTAGGTAGATATTTCTGCCAAGGACACTTCCCTTATTCTCTACACTTGGCCACCACATCACTAAATGTGCCATAGCACCCTGCTTCACGCATGAGAATTTCACCAAAGTTCCATTCTCTTTTGAAACCAGTTTCAAAAGCAGATTTCCTTTCACCAAATTGAACGTTGGCTTGTAGGCAGAAAAAAAGTAGGAGGTTTTCTTTTCTTTTCTAATTTGAACCCTGCTTGTTTCAGCTTGACTGACCTTCACAAGTCCCCTGGCATCCAAGGGACTAACCCACTCCAAAATAAACACATTCATGCAAATAGTATTTTGCCAACTTAGGAAGAAGCTTGGCTCAACCAGAACAATTCACAGAAAAGAGATACCAAGTGGCAGATGTCTGCTTGTTTTTTTTCCAGCTGCCTTGGTCAATTCAAACGATACATTTAATAGCAATGCCAAATGATGTAGCCAATGGTTGGCAGTAAGGAAATAATTATGCCCTTTCGCCAGCCCTCTCATTAAAACCTGGAATCTTGCACAACAGTGGTGGCACACAGAGTTGATGCCACATCACTTGCAGGTTTGCAAAATTAATTAGCCTTTGTTGTGGGCCCAGGTGTTTAGCCAAGAGGAGAGGGTGGTGGGGAGTGGCAGCAGAACCTTCTTGAAGCTGACTCAAGGATGGAACAGGAAGAATATCACATTTTGTTCCCTCTGCAACTGGCATGAGTAATCGGAGTCTTCAAGCACATCACCTGAAAGAGAACGGAGGCTGTGCTTCACAAACTGCCCCTCTGCCTCTTTCCGATCCATTTGTGGCCACTAAACTTCTGGTTTGTCACAACTACATCTTTTGGTTGCTGACAAAACTCGATGACTTTGGGCTTTTCCCCTCTGCTGAGCTGAAGTGTTCTCCATCTAACCTGGTGCCAGAAGAAATCCATCCTGGCGTGAAGTGCAGTATCAAGATAATGAGGGAAAAGTTATTCTGATCGTGGTGCAACTGAGGACAATCCCAGCCTGCCTCACTCGTGGGTTGGGGATGGGATGAAGGCGTTGTCTTGGGGATCCAGCAGGAAAAAAAAAGGGGGTCAAGGCCTATTTGTGCCATGATTATCAGCTGGTGGAGAAAGGCCATTTGAAGGCCCTTCAGTAGGCTTGGATGGAATGCCCACTTTCCAAATTTCTGCAACAATATATATATATCTCAGGATCCCACCCTAATCACTGCTTGATACTTACAACATCCTTGCACAAATGTCTCTTAGAAAACTTAGAAATAAAGTAGAGGCATTTTTAGCAACGTCTCGTGCCTGACCCAGTAAATACAGGAATACTGAAAAAGCAGTTGAAGTTGTATTGGTCCATGGAGGACAGGCTGGACCCAAAATCCATGTAAAATCATGATTGGGTGATATCTTTATTTGGGCCACTCAAATTAATGCAAATGGTTGTGCAACCTGGGAGTTTTCAAGGACTTTTTCATCAGGCAACTGATTACAAAAAAGAAAAAAGAAGAAATCTGGGTTAAAAAGCATGGCTGTGATACCCAAAGTTACAAGTCATAGCGTAACATGATGACCTGATTCTGACAACCTGCTCAGACAATGGTTGGTTCCTGCAACACACTGAGCTTGCAACTACACAGCCCCATTTCGTATTTTGTACAAACCCAGCCAGAGAAAACAAGTCATGGTGTGCTCCAGCATACTGTAGTTCAGGAGTTCTTAAAAACCTATTTACCTAGACCAGCTTACCCTAATCTGTGCCTCTGAAATGGGTTAGGCTCCAACTCTTCTAACCCCCTTAGCCATCATGGCTGCTGTTCCTGATTGCAGGGCATTTTGGGAACTGTGGTCTCTCTGCATCCGGAGGACACCAAGACAGGGAAGGCTCATCTACAAGAGGCCTACATAGCTAGACTGCAAATGTCAATTGATGCCTTTGGTATAAAAAAGACTGCTCATTCAACTCCAGAGCTGTAACTGAGGCGTGTCAAATCATGAAGGAGCGTTGAACCAGTGCAATCACATGCCACAAACATAAGACAAACTCAGTGTCATCTATGATACCCCCAAAGTAGGATGAAATCAGTTCACACACACACACACATATATCCTTGCTGGTATTCAGCATCTGATCCTTGGTGCCTTTTTCCTTCTGAAAATGAAGAGAAGGCAAATCGGAGTCCAGATGGCTCTTTAGCATTCCCCAGTTTGTAGAATTTTGAATAGTGCAATTTTTCAAAGTTACATCCCTAGCTTGTTTCACGAGACTAGCAGCTTCTCGTGTGCATTTTCTCCTTGCCATGTATAACAGTGTCTCTGTCTTTGAAACAGCTCCCAGTCACAGACACTGGGTTTGTTGAATAAGGACTGCACTGCAAATTTTCCCTGTGAATAATAATAATATATAATATAATATCATCATCATCATCATCATCATCATCATCATCATCCTGCCTGCCTGCCTGCCTGCCTG